CTATAGGTTTAAATACAAAGACAATATAAACCTAACTATGTATCTAACAGAATTTAACAAATTCCTCAACAAAGTCTATAATGATCCATTAATGTATTACAATACTATAACATGTATAGACAAAGAACAATAGATCAAAGCTATGAAGGATGAAATACAGTCACTTTAACAACAAAACGTGTGGATATATGCTATCCCCCCTATGAATACAAATGTAATTGGAACAAAATTTGTCTATAAAATCAAAAGACTGGCTAACAGCCAAATAGACAAATACAAAGTACAATTTGTAGTGTAAGGATACACTCAAAAGAATGGAATAGACTTCTATTCTAATAACTTATTTGCCCTAGTAACAAAACTATCAACAGTACAATTATTGTTATCTTGGGTAGTATCTAAGAACTATGAAATACATTAGATAGATGTAAAATCTGCATATCTTTACAGAGAATTAAATGAGGACAAACTCATTTACATGAAACTACTGTCAGGCAGGCTACTTACAGATATTAAACCTGGACAAGTGTTACACTTAAATAAAGCATTATACAGATTGAAACAAGCAGGTAGACAATGGTACAAGAAGATTACCAAACTACTGCTCAAGATTGGATTAGAATGAGCTAATTACAATCATGCTGTATTTTACAAGAAACGAAATAATAAAACAATTCTTGTAACATTTATGTATGTTGACAATATTACAATTATTGGCAAAACTATTACTATAATAACAGCATTTAAACATACATTAAGACAACACATTACATTTACTGACAGTAACAAAATACATTAGTTACTTGGTATTGAAATAAGCTGAGATAGACCTCAACAAACAATTAGCTTATGGCAAAAGCATTATATTGAAAGTATAATCAAGTGTTACCACTTTGAAAACGAAAAGGCACTACAAACGCCTATTACTCCTGGAATAGATCTATCTAACAATACAAACAATATGTACAATACAAACGAAAGTAATAATGAAACAACACCATACATGAATATGGTAGGATTGTTAAAATATGTTGCAGACTGTACACAGCCAGACATATCCTATATTACTGGGCAATTAGTGCACTACTTACAAAAGCCCTAAACACATTACTACAAAGTAGTGAAACATTGCTTTGCATATTTAAAATATACAGTAAATTGTTGGCTTCAACTTGGAAGCACAAACGCCTTAAAACTATGAGGCTATTGTGATGCAGACAGACAAATGACAGAAGGACATAAAGTAATAAACAGCTACATCTTTCAATTAGCTAAATTAACCATATCTTGGTCAAGCAAACAGCAAAACCTGGTACCACTATCTGTTTACAAAGCAGAGTTGCAAGCACTGGCATATGCTACTCAAGAAGCTATTTGGCTCAAACAATTTGCTGAAGAAGTACTGCAGACTGAATCAGCACCCATTATGATTTATTACAATAATCAAGGAGTAATAAAGACTGTAAAGTCTGACAAAATAATGTACAACACTTGTACTAAACATCTTGATTTACAAAAAGACTTTGTGTAATGTTACATTCAAAACAAATACATTAATGTATACTATGTTCAATCACAGAACCAATTAGCAGACATCCTTACAAAGGCTCTCCACATCCCACAGATCAAGCATCTAAACAAACTATTAGGCATACAGTCTTAGTTCTTAATTAATGCTTGAAGGGGAGTATTAGATTGTACTCTGGATTAGGAAATCCCCAATTGCCTTATGTAGAATTACTGTACTTGGAATGTCTCAGATTATCGGACTTTACTATGTAGTATATAAGGTAGATACTTGCTTGATGTCTAAATAAGAGAGAGTACTTGGGGCACTCCTGCTACACTTATTAAAAGCTTTGCTTTCTCTAGTATTGTTTTACTACTGGCCCTGGATGTTTAAAACTCAAATACAAGGTTGCTTGATTAGTTATTCATAGCTGTAATGTATCTAGTCTGCTTTGTTCTCCTACAGTATTTCAGCTCATCATCCATTGACTGCACCTCCCCAGTTACTACAATGCCTAACACCTTCAACAAAGCTCTTCCTGATACTCTTGCTAAACTTGCAGATCTGGGTCTAGATTTGTCAGGCTGTATAGAATATGAAAAAGTTCCAATTGTACATGGTGGATACTGCACTGTTTACATTGGGACTGTGTCCCTTACTTCCAAAGAGTCCTTGAAGAACTCTGAGGAGGAAACTAAAATGAATGTTACAGTCAAAGAACTTTGTTTAGATATTTCAGCTAGTAGAGATTCTGAAAAAGTAAGTGGTTGTACAGTCATACTGTTCTATCCTTCAGAATTCTGAAATAATTTGGAACTAGATACTTGCCAAGGAGTTGTACATTTGGTCAAAAATCAAACATGCTAATATCCTGTCACTTCAAGGCTTCATTTTGGAGAATGGTTCTGTTAAGAAAGGGGAAAGAGGTTATGTGAGAGGCTTAGAGAGATCACACAAAGAGGGGGGATAGTGGACTCGGCTTGCTCTCTGCAGCTTGCTTC